TGGGTGAAATTCAAGTAGGCACTGAAGAACGTATAAAACCGTGCTTGCAAACACCACACGCCCACAGCCTTATAATATTCTCATTTTCCTGAAATCCTTCCGTGAGGGTACCAGTTTCTTAGTATGTAAATGTGAAGTTTCGCCAGCTGGTCCATGGAAAATTTCTAGTAAACTAATTACCTCGCGATGAAAAGCTACACTGCTGTGTCAATAAATAGCACTACGATGCGTTCGTCGTTGAGAATATGAAATGAGGTTCCCTCAATGCTTTTTTTCTGTCAATTGAAGCACTTTTAATACATCGCTCGCGTATTGACTTTCTCTCAAGATTTTATATTCGAGCAAAAGAAACATCATACATAAATGACGAAAAAAGCGACAACTCTCTTGAAAAGGAAGGACAAACGCAATTGTAAAGAGAAGCTTCCATTGCGATAAAAGCAAACGGCCATCTTTTTTTTGATAAGGGTGTGTGTAGTGATGTGACTACTTGGCAATACATTGTCAACGTCTCTGCATATGTGTCATGGGGAAACGAACCGGACAAAAGAATGAACCAATCGTCGACATATTGGACAGCTGCTTTTTGTTGTTAGGATGCGTTCGACACATTCCGCGCACAATGGATGATCACAGACAACAGCCGAACCTTCATAAGCACGTAAAAAGGCTTTGTTGTCACGATTGCGACAGACCGTACGCTCGCCATAGCAGATTGGGCCTATGTAAGTAGAGTGAACATGTTGGAGAGATTGATCATTTTCGGCTGGAGGTGGCCGGCCTATTGCACTTATTCACCGTACTGGTGGAAACCAGTTGTATCAAATACAAAACTAAACTGGTAAAATACCGGTTATTTTAATGTACGAATGAACCAAATAGTTTCTTTGAGAGAAATTCATTACTACAGTTCTACGACAATATATGAAGTTAAACTCTTATACTCTTGGAGTTTCTGATATTATCAACTTCGATTTTGGTCTGTAACATTTCCGGTTTAAGCTAATACTAAGAACGATAGGGAAACTCTCAAAATGTTTAATGCATTAACTGTTAACAACTGATATTGAGCAACCATTATGCTTTATTTTGCCCAGCTTTCTCCGGCGAAGACATTATTTCTTTACAGGAAATGAAAAGTTTGATCTATTTAGGTTTGAAATCCTTATTCAATACTATTGAAAATTTCCTAATTCGTTAAAGGATTATTGTTTTCTTTAAATATTATTTAATTTCGAGGTTTCTTTTACTTCACCGTAATCACCACAGAGGTGCTCGAATCATACGGAGGCGGACCGCTGCTAAATAGATATTGACCTAAAGAAAACGATGTATTGTCTTCACCATGGGGACAAAAATATAGTGTTGTTCAAGTTAATCTTCGGTTAGTAGATGTCTTCTGTCATACGATACGAACAATTACATGGTGAATATATACCGAAGTAAAGCAAAACTCAAAAATAAATGGTCCACCAATACTTCTGTAGTGAAAAAATCTACTATGCAGTTACGACAAAGTAGTTAGAAACTAGAATTTGATGACCGCGAAAGTCTTTTATCAAATTTTTTACGGAATTGTTACTTTCCCGAAATAGCACTTCTTTTGTGATAGAATGAATTACGTGAACTTTTCGTTACACTGCTTTTTGTGACTAGTAACGATACCGCTACCCGTTACCGATTAGCTAGTATCTTTTTCATTATCGGTTACGTGTTAATGGAATTGCCTGGTAACAATAACTTCTCACCCCTAGCTAAAATAAAATGTTAATACAATCACTGCAGAATTACAAGGTGAAAAAAATGTAGCTGTTGTTAAAAATCACGAAAATATTGTTTTATTTGATGTACCTTGGCATTCATTTTTTTATCATATTTTACTCAGTCCTTTAGAACAGCAGTAAGGAAGCAGTTTGTATGTTCTCATGAGCTGTTAGTAATATACGATTGCTGATAGCGTATTAAAAAGGTTTTTCCCGTTCTGTGAGGATCTTTAGAGCCCGCCTGTCATGGCCTAAGAGAGGCGGATAGGTCCAAGTTTCTACTCCTCTACACTGCAACACCTCTCTTAGATCATATTTCACAAAATCTGTACTTCAGAGCGAATTTCACTACCCATGGCTGGTTAACTTTTCTTGGTACTGATAACGTGATTGAACATACATGTATTGTGAGGCCGTTGCTCCATTCTGGGTATGCATGAGCTCAATATTCCTAGATTCGATTTTGATGATGACTGGAGTTTTACCAGTGGGAGACTTTTAAGCTCACATCTCTGAGTTTTCAACAGCCAGGAAATCGATAAAAGGGTCCAAACGAGACTAGCTATACTCTGTTTAGTATTGATGCAATCGAATCAAACTAGCCGATTGCGAAAACTTGATCGGATCGGATCGGCAATTTACACAACAGCATCCCCAGTAACTGGTTGATCGGTCCGACTCTACCTCTGAAGTGGGCACACTAAGAGTAATTGCTTTACTACCAATTCGTAGACGCTATGTAACGATGGTATCTTGAGGGTGTGGGTGTTGATGTGGGTGGGTGTGGATGTGTGGGTGTGGATGTGAATTAGAGAAGAACTGCGTCCACACAGGAGCTGGATACAGGACAGCTTTTTCTGTCCTGTCCTGCTCGCTTACTCCGTCCTACTGCGTGTGGATCCCGTTCTTGTCTAATTCACACCCACACTCATGCCCACGCACACCGACCCACACCTTCCCATTCACACCCACCCACACCCGCACACAGTTTTTGTGAAACACGATGTGAAAGGAGTGCTGAAGTGTATAGGGTAGAAATTTATACCCACTCCCTCTCACAGATCATGACAGAGAAACCCTATACCCATCACAGACCGTGGCAGACCTTTTGATACATGATTTACGATTATATATCACTAGAATCTCATAAGAATATATCAACGGCTTCCTTGCTGTAGTTCTAGAGAATTAAGTAAGAAATGATAAATAAATGGGTCCCATGGTATATCGAAAAAAACGATATTCGTGTGGCTAGTAACAACAGCTGCATCGTGTTTCATATTTTTAATCCCACAAGGGATGGCACTAACAGCTTTTTTTGACAGGTATCCATCAAATAGATAGCAATAGCACTCGATAAAGAGGATACTTCTTTCAAGATTAATTCCATATTTTTAGAACATGTAACGAAAAATATTGAAACATTGTCAGATGATTCTATATAATCTATCGATTGTAAAATGCTAGAAAATATTTTCAAACGATTAATGAGATCCATTATGGGTTTTGTATCAAATGTTGGACTACTATCATCGTTTTGTGCTCAAACAGCGCAATAGTCTTCAACAAGCAACGGCTCTTGAATTAAAAGTTTGGTTTATCGTCGAACAGGATCAATAATATTCATTAGCATCAAATTTCATCGACATGTTTGAATATCGACTAATACTTGATTATCTGCATTCGGTAAATTTTCATTGACAATCACTCTTAATTTGGGATAATGAGCATTGCGAAAGGGTATTTTATCTGCTGATGCTGAATAATATAAATATAACATCTCTGCGATAAATCATGGATTAAAGACAACATATGACTGAATTTATCCGTAAGTGAAAGGAGTATTTTACGCCATGCATACGAGATAATGAAATCAAGACATTCATCAGTATCATAGAATAGTCCTAAACTTTTTCAATAATCATTTTATCATCTGTTGTTTTCCATAGTTTTTGCATGGACATATTTTCTTCAACATAATTCCGTTCGTCCAGATGGATTTCGACAAATTCTTCGTCCCCATATTGTACATCTTTAAATAAATTGTTCGGGGTGTGCCTATTGGTTTGGAGGCGGGGGGAGGCGCTGTGGATTTGGACGTGGGTAGGTGTGGGTGTGACTCTTCGCATCACAATAGTCACACTCACCCACACCCACACCCTCGGTTCACTTATCAGCAAAGTTTAGAAAAGGTGGAATATATTCTCATTTATGATAAAAATCTTCTTTCATATGTTAGTGTATCAGCAGAAAAAGGTCGTTACCTAACTATACGTTATTACATTTACATGAATATCAACTGAATGTTTATTGTGTGTAGATTGAAATAAATATCAATAAGATGATTGCTTTGTCATTCTGTTCAACTCATTTCTGATTCAAACTCATCAAAGCCTATAGATCAACATGATAGACGTACGCATTATTGAATCAACATTGATCAAAGATCTCGAAAACAGAATATGTAAATGTAAAATTTAGATATTATCTTAAAGTAGAGAGTTAATCGAACGGTTTGAAAGACAATTTTTTTTTGAGCGAGATGATATTCATTTTTTGCTTGATTGATGATAGAAGTAGAATAAGAAACTTGAACTCCCAATACCATACTGAATATGATGGAGATCAATGTTTGAAGAAGATCTTGGCGAATTCTTGAAGAATCGAATCTTATAGAAGTCAATTGTCGTTCAAATCAATTTAATACGCAATGTTGGAAACTAACCGTCTGGTTGATATTAATGATGATGAATACACTGAAGAAGATCACTGTCAAAAACAAATCCAAATGTCATCAAGATTGAATTGAACTACATGCTTGAGAGCATGGAAAAGACTACTAAATTAGCCGTGCAAGAGATACTCGATGCATTAGCGTGTACAAGTGAATATAAAATTAGCATTCACTTATTGAAATCTTTTAGTTATTAACTTCTTACATCAGACGAGCAAATTTTATGCTACTATTAATAGAAATAGTAACTCTTTGATATTTTTTATGTTTAATGTGTAAATCAATTAAAATAACAATGTTATTATTAAAGAATACTTTTTAAACTTGTCATCACTGATGAAGAATTGACTTATATTGGTAAATGAACAATATGTTCTCTATTTTAACTAAATTTTGACTGAATATGCTTTAATCCTTCAATTTGTTCTCGAATTTTAGCACCATTGATTGGTAAGCGATAAAGAGAATCTACTAGAAGAAATATCTGCTCTTGTTTAATAGCATCAGTAGAATCTGATGAATTGTTGTTGAAGAATATTCATTTCATTTTTATAATCAACTAGTAATTTTTCTAAACCAACAATAACACCATCATTTTGAACTTCAGCACTCCTTTTTGTTTTTTCTTCTCGAATAAAATCTTCAATATATTCCAAAATATTATCGTTTACTGGACTAAGTGCATTTGCACGAAGAAATTGTCCTAACTGAGTACAAACTTTAATAATAGCTTCTTGTTCTTCTTTTAAATCTTTAATAAGTTGTTCAATTCCATCGATTGGAGATTGTGTTATATTCTTACTGTTCGTTACAATATTAGTAATAAATTTACGAACTTCATAAGTAATATACATATGTTCTTTTCTCATACAACCACATTTATTATAAGTATCTAAAAAGATTTTCATTATGCAAACTAACAAAGCGGATAGAAAACGGTTACCTAAAATGGAAAAAAAACGTTGAATATGTTTTTGTTCTCGAGAAAGGGACAACCGAAAGGTTCTTCAATTTCGTGATTTCTGGAGAACGGTTGATCAGAAACACTTCAAACTTTCAGGCACAGATGTCTTGATGAATAGAGCTAAAAATGTCATAGATTCATATTCCTGAATGTTTTTTCGTAGGAGATACTGATGTTGTAGTACGTCTCATAGAGTCCCAAAAACGTTTTCACAGATATTACGCTCCGTTTGGGATGCATATATATTTCGGTTTCCTTTTAAATCGTTCAATTCGAATAAAAAAACTGTATCCTTTTTTTATTAGAGGTTTCTTTGCAAACTTTGGCAACAGCTAGTGTTGGAGTCACTGAAATAAATGAACTCTCATTTATTCATTACATTAATCTCAAATCATGAACTTATGATCAATCGTAAGGAAAAAAATCTGTTAAGAAAACAATATTGTTTGATGAAACTCTTTAGTAGTTTTCTTCATTTTAGTAAAAGTGACACTTCGGTTCTCATTTTGAATATCATTATGCTGTATATTTTATTCTTCGGTCA